AACCGCAAAGAGAGAGCAGGTAACACAGCGTTGCTGGGCACAAGCTGAGAGCTGTATCGGTGGGGTCAGTAGATGCAGGCGGGCTGGGATTGCTGCTGCCCAGCTGTGCTGATGATCTCCCTGGGGACTGAGGTCCCGGAGAAGGTGCATCCATGGGAAGAGCAGATCCCTGCCGCTCTCTGCTGCTTCCATTCCCAGGGCTCTGCTGGTCTAATGAATGTACGTCAGCTCCCTGGGGCTAGAGCCCCACAGTCCAGGCTTCTGGCCCTGGAGATGGGAGAGTCCCAGGTTGCTGGTTTTCTCTTCAGCCCTCGGGGGAGCTGGGTGGTGGGGAAGGAACATGCTTAAAACCTGCTTTATCCACCAGCAGGAACCATGTGAACAAAGGCTGGTCTGGGATCAAAGGCTGAATAGATGAAAAGGGTCCCTCCATCTCTGGGTGGACGCGGCCTTAAACGTTAATAGCAGTTCTGAGCATGTCTGCGACTACAGGCCTTTCCCCCCTGTATAGAAAGGAACAGGAGTATTCCGGGGGGACCGGACGCCTGAGACTTGCAAACAGAGTTTGGCCTAAGCCAAAGCCGTGATCAGAGCATCATTTAGTCTGTAAAAGCTGCAGCAATTTTATCCCTTTGGTCAGTTTTCAGGATTTGTTTCGCAGGGTTCGTTTGTGGGACGTGGCCAGGAGGGTGCTCCGCAAAGTAAGAGCTGGGAAATGAATCAACTGCTGGTTCCCCCTCATCAGGTTTAAATCACTTACAAGACCAGCAGGGAGGAGCTGGAGACAGTTCAGCCAGTGAGCAGGGAGCAGATTAGCATGAGGGGCTGTTCTCCAGCTCTGGGGGTTTAAGAGAGAATTGGAAGGTTTCCAGCCACAGACCCGTTTGCCTCAGGGAGCCGAGCTCAGCTGGATTCCCCACCATGGCCTGGGCCCCTCTGCTCCTCACGCTGCTCACGTACTGCATGTGTAAGAAAGGTTTATTTGCTGCGAGAATTAAATAAGAATTTTCCACACATCTTATCCCCTCCCCCTCATCCCCGGCCTACCTGCGGGATGTCTCTGGGGACGCTCAGGAATAGCTGTCCTGAGCTGATTTCTAATATTGTTTCAGGTCCCAGTTCCCAACAACTCCTTGCCCTGAAGCCCTCAGAGTCGGTGTCTCCTGGAGGGACCGTGACCCTCTCCTGCAGCTTGAGCAGTGGAGCCATCACTGAGAACAGCTTCCCACACTGGGTTCAACAGAGACCGGGGAATGTTCCCCGACGGCTGATACAAGGCACTAGTGCCAGAGCTGCTGGTGTCCCAGAGCGTTTCACTGCTTCTATGTCTGGTAACACCATGTCCTTGACTATCGCTGGGGCCTTAGCAGAGGATGATGCTGGTTATTACTGTGCTGTGTGGAGTGGGGGAGCTCAACACAATGGTGCGATCGGATGAGGAACTGAGACAAAACCCCCAGAGGCTGTGACAGGCTGGCCAACGTGCCGGCTGCAGAGCATGGTGCCCAGCTGGAGGGAAGCAGAGAGCTGCTTGCGCTGTTCAGGGAAGAGCTTTTCCCTACTCCCTCCTCGCTCCCCTGCAGGCAGACCCCTGCCCCCCTTCCTCTGGGGATTTGTCTCTTTTTGCTTATCTTATTTAACTTCTGTACCCCCTCCCATGAGGCGTGGCTCCAGCCTTCCCCCTGGTCTTGCTATTGCTAATCGGAGCAGATTCTCTGCCTTCCTCAAAGGGCTGGTCGTGGGTTCTTTGTTGCAATGCCTGGTGCCTCCCCCCAAGGTGACTCCTCTCTGCCTGGGACATGAGGGGGCTGTCCCTTGGGAAAGTGACTAACCCCACTCCTCTTAACCAGGAGTGGGACCCAGCACGCAAGGAACAAAACACAATAATACAAACCCCAACACATGAAAGATCCCACCCAAATGTAACAATGGAACTAAGGGGACTTCATTGGGACAGGAAACAGAGGCTCAAGGGAAGGAAAGGGTTGAAGTTAACTGATAAATGCTAAAGCAGTAATGATACAACCAGATCTCCACCTCCCCCTGCTCACAACTGTACCACAACCCCCAGCTGTCCCCGGCACCTTCCCAGGCAAACAGAAGATCTAGGCTGATTCTGGAGATGGGTGTGGCAGTGCTGCAAATATTGGCCGGTTAACAAACACCCTCTTATAGTGTTTTCACCCCTGGGTCTGGCAGGGTCCTCTCCTGTGTCCCTGGCTCGGTCCTGGGAGGTTCTCGGCTGGTTCTAGTAGTTGGCCCCAGTTTGTTTCTCTGCTTCCCTGGATGCTGGTCTCTGCAGGGCTGGAACTGCCTGGCCATGAGCTGGCTCCCACAGCCGTACAAAGACCCCCATGTGGTGAGTGGGAGTAACCAGAGGCTCCCTCGGCTGTTCTGCTTCTCTCAGCTCCAAACCCAAACAGCCAAAGTGAAACTCAGGGCATGTCTACAGTGTCCGGTGCTCGGACTCTGGGGGTATGAACAGCAGGGCCCACCAACATGCTGTGACTCCCCTGCGCTGATGCTGCGGGCGTGAACTTACTGGCCCCGAGTTCACACTAATGTAGTTCTCTGAAGCTGAGGGAGGGGGGTGGACTTCAGAGCCCGAGCTCCAGCCTGAGCCACGACTTCAAAGTGCTGTCTACACAGCTATTGTTAGAGCGCTAGGGCAAGCCTGGCTCCCAAGTCTATCAGCCTGGGCTGGGAGGCTGGCTCCGAATCGCTTCAAAATGCCATGTGGACACACCCCTAGCGGGTCAGTCCAGTGTTCCAGGGGCTGGCAAACCCCGAAGGGAGTTACACGTCCATTTTCAGCAAGGAAATGTTCCCTCTCTGGGGATTCTGCGCATCTATGAGAGCCACGTCGCTCAAAGCAGATAGAAAATGGGCAGCATGAAATCATTGCCCAGGGCTGAGTTTGTCATCTCCCAGGGGAACGAACTGAGTGGAGAAGGGGGCGGAGTGGGCTCAGCAGAGCTAGGCAGAGAAGAAGTCTGATGGGATGGAGAATCCACCTGAGAAATGCTCACAACTGGCTGCATGCTAGGCGAAAGGGGAGGGGTCCACACAGGGCAATATTTGCAGATATTTGTATTGGTTGAATCTCCACTCAGGACCTGCCCATCCAGTCAGTTTTGCAATTCTCTTTCCTTCCTCCGGGACCTGCCAACCCACCACTGATGGGATAATCCTGCCCCAGAAGTTCCCGGCTCCAACACCGGTTCTAAATCCTCCAGGCCAGGCTGCTTCCATTAATAAACTTGTGGGTCTCTTCGTGATACTGCTGGGAAAACTTAGTTGCACAGAGAGCTGCAGATATGTTTTTGTACAGCACCCGGCACAATGCTACCACCATCCTGATCAGGGCCTCTGGGTGTCACTGTAATACACACACTGATAATCTAGGGTTACCATATCTCATAAATAAAAAAAGAGGACCCTCCACGGGCCCTGGCCCCGCCCATTTCCCACCCTAGCCCCGCCCCCTCCTCCCTTCCACTCCCAGCCAGGGGGAAAGGGCTGCCCCAGTGCTACCGGCTTCAGGGTTTGCCGGGCAGTCCCCAGACCCTGCGCCCCCAGCCGGCGCTTCCCCAGCGCAGCTGGAGCCCAGGAGGGGAAGCGCCCAGCCAGAGGCGCAGGGTCTGGAGGCTGCCCGGCAAACCATGAAGCCGGTAGCGCTCGGGCTTTGGGCAA